CAATGATCGAAACTGTGCCAAAAATTGAGTTCTGTTAGTTACTGATTAAGCTACTCTTTGATGGAAAAAATGAGGCTGGTCTTTGTCTTCAAAATCAATACCATTCATCTATACTTTTGGGAACAGCTGAAAGTCACAGGGTGCCTAAAAAGTAACAGAACTCGATTTTTGGCAATGTTTTGATCCTTGGATTTATCGCGTGCAAAAAATATATACTGAAATCGACGGAGAGTGTGTTAATTGAACAGCACTGAAGTCTTGCCAAATGATGGAGTTATAAATATGCGAGTTAAATTTTTTTTTATTGGTGTAACTCGGTTGGATCTATTCCAAAGAAAAGTCCCACAACTTATAAACCAAGTCCAACCCTCGAAACTCAATGCGGCAAAGAGCTCATGCCAAAAGAAAAACATGTTATGCCCCGAGGCAAAACTGCCCTGTGACACAATTAAAACATGGAGCTTGCTGAAAGTGATGATATTTCGTTTTGTACCAGCAATACATTTTTGTATCTTTTTCTTTTCAGACATTATATAGCATCGTTCCGACAGCTTTGGTGTTCTCAGCGTACTTGCTGCCAGCTTATGTCATCACTGGTGTTCCGAATGACACCAAAGATCATCTCGGACTACTCTTTTACTTGGGTAAGGGAGTATACGACTGAATCGTTCGTATTGAACCGAAAAATTCATCCAATTCAGTTTTATTTTGGGTTGAATTTTCTTTTTAAAAATTGCACTGGCGTCACACAGCGAATTTTGAAGATGTTATGCAGTTCGGGAATGTCTGCATGTTTATGGAGCATCATAATGTTTGATTAACCACGGTTTTTTTTTTAGCAGTGTGTGTACGACTGATGAGAACTTCCTCTGACCTGCATCGAAAAAAAGCTAAAATTTGTAGGGAGCATATGAATTTTATTAATACTGTAATGAATAAGCGCAGAAAATTGTAAGAGAAAATATGCATCAATCGGGAGTCATTTTGAAAATACCGTGGTGTACTCGCTTTTTATTTTATTTTTTTTTTGAATCTAAATCATTGACGCTTTGAATATGGGTCATGAATCAATTCTTGAAATTATTCACGTCGAAGCCATTTATAATTATTGGAATTATTCACTCTCGGAATGCGTGAAGTTCTCGATAGAAGAAACATAACTGCGTTCATATGATAGTAGTGTATAATAATACAGATCGTTCCGAGTCAAAGATGTAGGATACGACTCGGACAAAGATTATTAATCGAGAAAGAAATAAATAAATATAACGAACCATCCGCCGGGGAAAACTCCGCAGGGAGATTCTTGGTAGAATCTCCAAAAGAAAAAATAAAGATATATTTCACGATAGAATTTCAGTTAGCAACCTTTCAATCAAAGACTTCACAACTTGGGAGAAAAATAAGAATCTTTCCGAAATTCACACTCAGTATAAAAACTCGAGAACAGCAATTTCATATGCTTTGGCGGTTTAAGAGTAAGTGCGTGATTTTCCCGTAAAAAGAGGTCGAAGACTAGATATTGCGCAATGTTGAAAATCCTAGGAATTTCCTGTTGCAGCATTTCAGGCATTCCTATTGTTTGGTGGCTTTTTAGGTATCATTAGTATTTACATGACACTTATTGTATCCTAAAGCACCCCAGCCACAGTCCGGCTGATCGTATAGTTTTCTTTATTTTCTAAAAAAAAAAAAAAGTGTTTCAAATATAATTTATATCTCAACAGATGAAACATTTATTTTATATAGACACCAATGAAGAATTGAAGAGCAAAATAAAAAAAATTGCATCTGCTTCCAATGATGCAAATGTCAGTACATTATATCATCTTTTACAAACCTACCCCTCTCAATTGCACGCGGCCTATAGGCTCAATGCATAAATTCAGTAATTTTCCATCCTTGATTGAGTCGTTTTTATTTTCATTTAATTTTTTATTCTTTTTTGGGACAGGCCACATGATGCTGTACTTGTTTTCCATGCGGGCTGCGGCAGTGGCACTGGCACACCTGAGCTGCTCTCGTCACGTGGCAGCTGGGCTAATGGGTCTCCTGGGAGTGTTGGTCCTTATGCCCTGCGGTTATCCGTTGCACGATGCCGACGTGCCCGACTGGGCCACATGGCCCAGACACGTGTCCCCCGCGCGACGGGTGCTGGCCAAGGTCCTGTTGGACGAGATGTCTGCCGTGACGACCTTCAGCTGCTCCAAAAGCCCCGTAGTGCCCGAGAACAACATTCTTGTTCTGGTTCGTGTTCTATAAATTTATATTTGAGCGTGGGAAACCCGAGTAGGGAATACGATTAAATTTCTTGGACAGCAATTTTCTTACCCAATAATTCGGTGGATGATGAGAGTCCCTGATGAGGGTTTGAGTTACTCATAAAATAAAAAAACAAGGTTTATGTTGTAAGGATTTTTCCTTGGATTCCTTTGAATTCTCTGATGATGAGTCTAATGCTTTGCATGATTCCTCTTCTAAGCATTTCTTGAAAGTACCGTGTATAGAATAAAGCATGAAAGCATTTTATTACAGTTGAAGCTTCAGCAGTTCAGTAAAATAATATGTTCCAAAATATTGTTGAAAAATTAATTGTTGAAGGCAATTTCTCAATGCAGTGTTTCCGCAAGATTTTTTCTAATCTTTCGTATGGAAGTCGAAAGGTTTCGAGAGGTCGAAAGGTTGCTTCTTATTATTGCTCAGAAAATTTCAATGGAAGATGTTTTTATTATTTCTGCAATTTGTTTTCAATTTTGCGGACCTTCATGCATGTCTTCGAAAGGATTTTTGCGAGGCTTCTCTCATCAAATTGAACGCGTTTGAGTATTTTTATGATTTTCTATATAGAGTAATTTTGGTGTTCGTATTTTCCTGAAGTGTATGTATTTCGCATTTGATTTTTCTCATTTTTTTTTTTACAGGCTGATTGTGGAGTTGATTCTGGAAACAGGTCGTTGACATTTCTAGGCATTGACACGGAAATTCCAGCTTACGAGCCTTACGCCATAACCGGAATTTTCATTGGTGTCTTCACTTTGCTTGGATTCTTCTTTGCCTCATGCTTGGATCAAAACCCGAGAAGGTCACGGGCGAGATCAGAAGATTTCATGATGTGATCAGCGTTTTCTCCCTCAAATTGATCATTGATATTGTTTTTTTTTTAATTGGACACGTGCACTCTTCGTCGAGTCCGTGTCCGTGCTGAACACGTTAAAAGCCAATAAGAACGCCATTCAATGGGATGGCCAATGGCAAGGGGGAGATTATCACGATTGTGCCTGCTTTAAACGTCTGACGAGGCATTTTGTTCGAAAGAAACGGTTTTTAGAAATGGCTGAAAGGACGAGAGCCGTTTGGGGTATCTTCAAATCAAGAGATTGAAAAGTGCTTGCCTTTTTCTATAGTATTCCTGCAAATATCTGTGAATTATGCAAAAGTGTATGCGCAGTGTAACCGAATTGTGTGTTCATTGCAAATCATTCTATACAGAAGGTGGAGTCAAATAAAGTGGTTTTATTTGCGTCCTGCCGTTTTTGTTCATTTCTGACAACTTACTGCTTTACTGTATATACATATACATGAAATCATGAACCAAATGATTTTTGGTAGTTTCCTTTTTATTTAATGCTTATGTTGGTTTAGTCTTTTCTCAATTCGATCGACGTGATCCTCGTAATGATCACATTATATCAGTTACGAAAAATTGTCACGCCCTATATCAATACAGACAACGACTGAAAATTACAAACTTATTGACATTTGAATTATGGTACACTATTGTATAGGGAATCGCATGATGCGCCTATTTTGTAAAGTTCCCTCAACTACTGGAATGAAAATTTTCTGCCGTGTTGTCATGTATCAATTTCAGTACTCTACTGTACAGTACTGTATTATATACTGTACAAGATTTTCGGAATCGAAGATTTTAAGATTCATGGCCAAGTAAAGGTAATTTATCGTCCAGGTAGGTGTCGCTGCATAGCAGGTATCACCATTATAGTGTCATGGCGGCACGTTAGGCCTTGTGCCTGCGTGGACGTTATCCTACACTTTTCTATTCACCTCCACTTACTTGCACGCTATTTGTCCTAGAGGGTTATTCTCTTCCACTCTGTCCCTCAATGGGTGACTTCATGAACAAAGCATGCTTCAAGATAGCGAATTCTATGTTGAAAATGGTTTAGGAAGACCGGAAGACGACATACTATATTCACTACATAAAATTAAGACGGCCTGTTAATCAGTGAGTAAGTATAGTAATCAAGTTATATGGTTGTGAGTTATGAAGTTGGTCAGATGCATTTTGAAGTTTTTTAGGATTTAGGAATAAATTTCATTTGCTCAGGATTTCACAATAGATTTGGAAATTGGTTGTTCCTCATTGTTTAAGACACTGTTGGAGTTGATAATAAAAAATTTTTGCATGCCATATGTTACCATGTGCCATGTTATTTGTAGCAAGAAATCTTAATGGATATTCTCATATTCAAACTTTACATAAGTGTAAGAATATTTTATTCACATAAAATGTCTGCGATGTTATTTGGATATTCACAATTAGTTTTATTCATTTTAAAGTTTCTTCTTATATATGCATACTGTTCTTTGTCCCTGCATGAATAGTAGGAGTATCCTAACCAGATCTTACATCTCTCCCGCACCATATCATAGCAATTGAAGTCACTCAATGTATGCCACTGATGGCGCTAGGAGATCCTGACGCTCCTGGTGGTGGCGTGGAAGGGGTATCCCTGTGTGTAGCGGCTCTGTGTGGATTACGTTGCCGCCATGTCACGATGAGAGACAGCTCAGATTCATGTGCGATACGGTTGTCGGTATGGTCGAAGAAAGATCTGACGAAATTTCTCGACCATTTTCATTCTGGAGTCCGTGAACAGTGCTATACTGAGGACGATTGTGTGATGAGTGGTTGCCAGTTGGCGTGAAATTCCATTCTGCCCCCCCCCCCCCCAAGATCCATTACTTTTGCCGTCGAAGTAATCGGTGTTCTTCTTCCAGTCTAATCTAGCTGAAAGACGTGAAGGGAACTTTTAATTTTCCTTCCATTTGCATCTCGTGAATCTTAAATTTAGACATCTTGAAGAAAGTCACGAATTTAAATATGTTATCATCGATTTGGAAAGACCATCAGGCAAAGATTTTGGAGCGTAAAGGAGCTCAAGGTGAGGAATTCTTCGCTTGACTAGAAGCTTTAACAATCCTCATCCTTCCTCAGAAATGCTGCGACAGGACGCCTTGAAGGCTTCAAATTGTCTAACTGAAGCTCTCGTCGACCATCTCAATGCTGGGTATGCTCATCAGTGCAATATTAGGTCTCCATTGTCTTGAATCTTACTCTTTCGGACAGAGTCGCACAGGCTTACATCAATCAGAAAAAATTGGATGCGGAAGCGAAGATGTTATACGTCAATGCTACGAATTTCGCGAAGCAGGCAAATACATGGATACATCTTGTGGACAGTTTCAATGCTTCTCTCAAAGATCTTGGAGACGTTGACGCTTGGTCTAAAGCAATAGAATCGGACCTCAAACAGATATCCAGCACTTTGGAGTATGCGTATAAAGGTATAGTATATGTTGCTGATGAATACATTGAGAAATGTAAAAAAAAAATTTCTGCAGTGAGCGGGGAATCAGAAGTGGAATCCACCTGATGAATTCAATGATCAAAGGCACGCACCAGAAAAACCTGCCTTCGCTCGACAGGAATACTCGTCGAAATTCGCTAGTTCCACGCCATGGAAGTTCTGGTTAAATTGAAAATCTTCATCCCATGCAATGCATTTGAGGCTATGTCCTCTTTTGATTTTTTTTAATGATCCCATGCAATGCAATTCTTGAACTAAAAATGATAGGAAGAATATAACATCAAAATCTTCATCCCATGCAATGCATTTGAGGCTATGCCCTCTTTTGATTTGTTTAATGATCCCATGCAATGCAATTCTTGAACTAAAAATGAGAGGAAGATATTTAACATCAAAATCTTCATCCCATGCAATGCAATTCTTGAACTAAAAATGAGAGGAAGAATTTAACATCCAATTATTCATCCCATGCAATGCATTTGAGGCTATGCCCTCTTTTGATTTGTTTAATGATCCCATGCAATGCAATTCTTGAACTAAAAATGAGAGGAAGATATTTAACATCAAAATCTTCATCCCATGCAATGCATTTGAGGCTATGCCCTCTTTTGATTTGTTTAATGATCCAATGCAATGCAATTCTTGAACTGAAAATAAGAGGAAAAATTTAACATTAAAAACATCATATTATGTTTTTTAACCTGTTTTCTTTTCATATTTTGACCTCATCCTCAATTCTTTTACCGTTTCTTTTCAATTCATTGACTCCTCTTCTATCCATTTCCTCGTTTGAATGTTATTCTTTGTTTTACCATTTTATTTTGATGATCAGAATGTGTTATTCTTTTACTCACGTTATTGTATTTTAGAGAATGATTTCGTGGATTGAATGGATAAGGATCACGTTTTCGCTTGTCGGGTTTATTGTATTTTCGTTTTGCTATTTGTCTCTTCCAACCCTGTTGTCGTATTTTTTTATTTTTTTGTGTGTGTCATAAAGAGTCGTTTTCCAATGTTACTCAATATCAAAATCGTAATAGTCGTATTTTATTCAAGTGGAATTTTTTTTTCGTACTTTTCATTCATTTCTTCCATGTTTTTGGAACAGAGTATCGAAGCGATACTGTGATTTGTGGTCCTCCATGATGTGGTGTGATTTCAATGAGTTAACGGAAGTTGCGAGGGGTCTTCTTCCGCTATACCTCTTTGTGATTCTGCCCATCTTTATTATTATCACTCCGGTTGAATGTGCCCACGAATTCAGTGCGTATCGGATGCAACAGTTCGATTTGCACGGCAATCATTACGGTGAGCCCGAATATTTTTTTATTACCTCTCAGATGCGTCCACTGGTCTGAAAATTTGTCTCTTTTTTACTTCTACGATATCTCGTGATTCTGTTTTCTTGATAATGAGCCAGTTCCTTTTCGTAATTCATTTGTCACGGGATCAATTTTTGACCATTCTTCCCCCTAGGCTCCCGGAATTCTCTGGTTAGCTTGGAAGCCCGAACGTTGGATGCTACCTCCTTTTTACGAAAATGCGTCATCGCGAAATGGCGTGATCTGAAGGAAGAATTATGGCAGGAGCTGAACGAGCAAAATGCTGGTGCCGCGCTGATATTGATCCCCAGGAATGTGTCTGGTGTCGATCAGTCTAGGGTTACGGTAATTAACTCGGGCCTTCGATTGACCCTTCGAGAGAGTGAAGTGCTTCGTAATTTTGGTGTTCTCAGTTTGTCATCCAGTGTAAAACCTACATCGTCATCATGTCTCTTCTCATCATTAGCTATAATTCTGTTTTTCTAAAAACAAAATTTATCGATGCAGTCGGAAGATAGTTCTCACCTCTCTTGTTTTTCGATTCTTGAATCATTTCGAGTAGGGGTCTGGGTTATGTGTCTTTCCTTCGGATCGGGATCTTGGTAATTTAAAAACGATGAGCAAGAAAAAGGGTCTGATTTTAGTTATAATATAGATTTGCACGTCGATAAAAGAAATTCTGGTTATGCCTTCAAGTGCACTGCATGGAAGACGACCGTACTAAAATTTTTCAGATACAAAGCATATGTTCAAATGTGTGACATTGTGCGAATAAAATCTGGTGTTCCTAAAAATGTCTTTATCATGCATGCTCACATTGTATTATCGTGTACAATACCTTTCATAACAACTTGGCAATACTACTGCATTAGTCTAAGATAATTTTTAAATATCTTCAAAAAAAAAAGGATTGATGGATCAGATTCTGGTTTTGAATGTACAGTACCCGTAGTAGAAGTACTGACTCCTTTTAGTTCGTGCAAATTTCATAATGCAGTGTATGATTCTTTGGAGAGCCCGTTTTTTTGTTAAACTTTTGCGTGTTAACGTGGATGAAGTGAAATTTTTTCCCAAGTACCTACTCATTCAATTGATTTTGCTGAATTAATTTTAGCAAATTTTGGCGATGGAGGAATTTCTGCTGCGGGACGAAACTCAGATGGCTGTTTATTTCTCCTACGAAACTCCTGAACTGTTGGAGATTTATAGCAGTGTGAAAGCTGCGTCATCCGTGAATCAGGAAACCTCTGCGCTAAACGGTATGTCGTGTTCGACGTTTTTACTGTACACGTAATGAACTTCTGCAGAGCTAGCTTTCAATCTAAGTACTGTACTGTATTTTATTATCTTGGCGATGTTATGCGTTTGTTTTAAAAAAGATTTGATCATTTTTAGCCATCGTCAACGCAATATACTCCAGTGGGTACCAGATGCAAGCGGCAGCGTCTTCGGCGAAACCTGTGCCGGATTCTCAGATCGTCAGTATAATGGTTAGTATTGTACTAACAAATATACTTCAATTCACTACTTTTCTAGAAGCTATATAAAGGGCAATTGCGTCCTTCATTTGGTTTTGCTGTGATTCAGCAGAAATTCTTTTGAAAGACTACATCATCATCCGAGTTCGTCAAATTGGTCTGCAGCTTCGGAGGATCTTTGGTATTTTCCGCTAATCCAGCGGTGACATACTTTTAATCATCTATGGATTTATGGCACTATTCATTTCAATTGATCTACATGGATTTACCTCTTTCCGGGTTCTTCGTTCTGTGTTCATTTTTCAAATTTTTTTTTACAGGGAAAGATGCCCGGATATGGAATCGAGGATCAATTGCCAACGATTGTGCTGATAGCGCATTACGATTCGTTCGGAGTTGCCCCTGTGAGTTGATGATGCTTTTTTCCTCAAATTTCTGCGGAGTAATCGTTCTTGATTTTTCAATGCCCGATATCCTACCGTAACATTACCTTAATGAACCCAAAAATCACCTAGCCTTTTCTGATCCAAAGTAGCTTGCTTTTCACACACGATATTTATTGGATAATTAAATGTCAGATACGAGGATTTTGGGGTCTAAATGAACTCATGGAGAGATGAGAATTCAGGATGTTTTAATTTTATGCGTCTTCTTCAAATTGTTTTTCTCTTGAGTTATAATCTTTCTGACAATCTTAAAAGTAACTAAAATGTGTTGAGGTTGTTGGCACAGGAAATCTCTTGAAGTTATTGTGACCTTCTCTTGCAGGAACTTTCTTTTGGCGCAGATTCCAATGGCAGTGGAGTTGCAATGTTGTTGGAGTTGATGAGGCTGTTGTCGTTGCTTGGTCAGTCATCTCGGGAACAACCGCGGGTGAACGTGCAATTTTTGTTCTCTGGTGGCGGAAAGCTGAACTTCCAAGGCAGCCGCAGATGGCTGGAGGATCAGCTTGAAGGTCTTGATGCGAGCTCATTACAAGACTCCGATTTTACACTATGTCTGGACACCGTTGGAGGCAGTGATGAATTGTTCATGCACGTTTCCAAGCCGCCGAAAGATGGCAGCGCATCTGCGGAATTCTTCAATGTAAGAATTGTGGCTAAGTTGCTTTCTGTATTCGAATGCGTTGACGATGTCCGTGTATTCTGTATTCAGATGAATATCAGTCATTCATGCGGAATTTTTTCTGATTATGAATTGCAAGAAATTGTTTACGGATTCAATGCAGCATAAATTTTTTTGGGATAGTGTACTGTACAACTAAAACTTCGCATCCATTCAAATCGTTAATCTATCAATTACCCATCGAACGTTTTCTACTGCTAGAGGCGAGTCGAGATTAGTTTAGAGCATTATGTCGAAATTATATCGTAATCATAGTCAAGTTGTGTATGGGAGAGATTTTCTGAATACTCTTCGAATTATTGTACTGTGTTTTTATTTTTTTCACATGGGTCATATAGCGGGATTAGTGAATTTCATCGAAAGAAAATTCTCAAGGAGTAATGGTTTGCAGTTCGTCAGTAACATTAGTTTTATTCGAGGAATCATTTGGACGTTTGTGTATTTTTCCCCTATTCTCGCATTTAACATAAAAACTTTCTTTTGGTTTCCGGGCTGAATATGCACTGTCGAATTCGTAGCGTCTTATATTCTTTGAAATATTCTTCTTGAGTGTACAGTACTTCAGTCAGCTGTGTTTAGAGCATTTCAAAAAAAGTCGTGTTTTCTATTTGTAGAACATGAAAGATGTGGCAGCCAACTTGTATCCGGAACTGAGTGTGAAACAGGTACACAAGAAAATAAACCTCAACACTGATTTTCTGGCGTGGGAACACGAGCGCTTTTCGATTCGCCGTTTACCAGCTTTCACCGTATCACACCTCGAGGTAATTTGCGGTCAATCAATCAATACTCCCAAAAATTTTGAGTAATTCTTTGTTTTTTTTAAGAATCCGAGGAGCCCATGGAGAAAATCCATTTTTGATACTCTTGATGGGCCGGGTAATTTCGATGTCGACAAGTTGGCCAGGAATACTCGCGTGGTTGCCGAAGCTCTGGCGAGGCATGTTTTCAAGCTTCATCCCGGGGAGTACGTTTTTGCAGGGGATCGAGTGAGTTGGCATTAGCCTCTTTGTTGTCTTAAACCATCAGTTTAACTTCATCTCATCTAAAGAGTTATGCTATTTACAACAACGATTTTTTGCCAACAGCAATATTCTCCGTACGACAGTTTTTTTTTTCCTTACCGTCAGGTACAATTTTTTACTGTTGAAGCTGTGCTTCTACGACAATATTCTTCGTAAATCAATTTATTTCCTGGTCCTCTTGAGTCTTGAGGACCGTATTGTTCCTGGAGAAGATCCATATTGAATACTGTAGTACGATCATTTGCTTTACTGAGGAAAACGTGTACTCATTCCTGTGGTGAATTTGAAGTAATGGTTTGCCCTAGTATTTTTCGGGAGGAAATTCCGTTCCCTTTTTTTGCTTGAACGTGGGTTTTGTCTTTGCAGCAAGTTGAGAAAAGCAGTTTAGAGGCATGGGTTAAGCAGTTGGCTCGAAGTCCGAGGTCTCCGCAACTCCTGGCGGGGGCGAGGTCCAAAAACCAACAGTCCGTTGTTCTGTCTTTGGAAGAGATTGTTGGAAGGTTCGTAGAATGCGATTTCGTTAATTTTTTTAAAGATTGATGATCAATGTTTTTGTTACAGGTATACCAGTGAAGTGAAAGTGATCCAGACCAAGCCTGATTCAAGAGACCCTGACTATGTTCTATATGACGTGACGAAGACCGTGATCACCGCTTATAGGTAAGTTTTTTCTTCAGTTTTCCAGTGTTTTTATAGGAATGATATTTCTTTTTTCTTCGCAGTGTAAAACCGGCGCTTTTCGACTTATTCCTCAGCGTGGGAATTGCTGCTTATCTAGGTGGAATCTATCTAGTCATCAAGGTATTCTTCTAAAAAAAAAATTGTATGAATTTGGATTCTTTTTTTCTGAATCCTAAGTATTTAATTTATTCATAAGTGTGATTTTCGCGCGCAGTTTTGTCCAGAAAAATTATTTATGCCAGTTGTTCAAGAATAAATTTTCAAAACGAATATTTTTCCGCACTTCGACTTACAGAATTTTTCACCAGTTCGCACGCATTTCTCAATTTGGTCTAAGATTTGAAAGGTTCCAAAAAATATAATTTTGGAACTTTCTGTCCGACCGTTTTGCCACTTCTGAATCCCTGTACCACTTCCTTTATTGATGATTTAGTCTTCGACATGTATGGGTAGGGTTTATCATTGTTTTTGACTATGAGTTGCATTGGGATTCGGGATGAAACCATAGAAATTGGACTCTGAAATCGCTTATGTTTGCATTTCTGGCCTTTTTTTTTTTTTTGCCTCTTCCTTCCAAAATCAGATGAGTGGAAACATTTTGAAGATGTGTAAGATTAGTGATCAAGGCCGTCCTCATCTGAATTGTAGAAACTCCCCTATATTTCTTGAAGCAATTGATTACAAAATGAAAAATCGGGCTGCGAGAGGAACCAGACACCCTTCTTAATTATCAATTTCTGGAGAAATAGGATTTTCATTGACTGGTGAAATTTTCTCTTCGCAGAATTTTCATATGGTGTTCGCGCTGATGGAGACCATCCGATTTTCAACGACGAACAAAGTGAAGGCATCATGAAACCATCTCTTGGATAGAGAGATCCTCTGGACGTAGTTGTCTCCCGTTCCCTTACGTTGTGTTCCATTGTCCTTACGATTGAAATTATCGGCTCAGAAATTATTGTTGCGAGATACTCTTGCCTGAATGTCGAGAAAGAATGCATCCCCTTTAATGCGATAAAGAAGCACGCGTTCTGATGATTCGTCATGTCTGGTGACGGGTTCATGCGAGTGCCTTGAATCGATTTCATTGACTTGGCATTTAGGCTAATCCGTCCCAAAGGTGGGATTCCTGAACAGAGCGCAAAATACGCGAGATTATTCGAAAGTTTTGTCCGCAGTGTACCGTGAAATGGAATTCGTTGAAACCCGGGTTTCTGCTTCAGTGCTTTCGAACCCACTGTGAAACCAATAACGAGGTTTAAAGAAAGCTTCTTTCCATTTTCTTAGGATTCTCCGCAATTGCACAAAAATTTCGACCGGATAGTTACTCATCGGAACGCAATTATCGTACAGGTATTTGTCTAATTCTTCTGTAAGATTTTAAAATAATTTTAGAATTACTTGATGGCCCTTGGATTACCTTCGGATCCATGAAACATCCCAATGTAGCTTGTCATAGGACTTATCTTCTTACACTGATCGAGTTGTATTTTCAGCTGTTTATTTTCCAAAATCCAGCGGAACAAGAATTGAAATTGTGGCCAGGAAATGAGGAAACAGCACTTCGTTAAAATTCAGTCAATCTGCTTGCAAATATGAAGAGTAGCAGAAAACTGACAGAACTTACGAACCATTCATTCATACTTCACTTGAGGTGGACTTCAATAAGAAGGAGTTCGCTCATGATGAAACTGCATTTTAATTTCTGCATTTAATGTTAACTTCGGAAGATTTCTGACTCGCATGAACGTCTTCACCATGGGATTGGTGGTGCATTATTCCAAACGTTAATCAATAAATCAACAGAATTGATGGCGTCTTTCTTTTCCTCTCCTGCAGGCGGATTTGTTGTGTGGTGCTCGAATGACACGGGGTCGGGTTTCACCGAACAGTATGTGATCGGTTTGAAACCACAGATGAGCGTGAGAACCGTGATCCAGTCCCACGCAGGAAGAACCAAAGCGTGATTATGATATATTGAGATACGATTCGAGTATTTCGATGACCACGATGAATAACTTGAAGAGCTTCGTGAGCAAAATAGCCGAGCGCGTGAGTACTAATGCATGCTTCTTGTTCGTAAGTGCAGAAGTAAGCTTTTTTATTTTATTTCGCAGGGTCGCGGCAGCTTGATGTCCGACGCCTCGGAAGAAGAGGATTTCAATGATGTTCCGAAAATCATCAACAGTGCCGAAGGTTTCATTTGTCCAATCTGTCATCTGGATTTGGGATGCATGGAAAATCTGGAGACTCATTTTACTACCGCTCATACCGATGAAGGTTCGTACTGTAATTCGCTGTAAACCCATTTTCAAAACGCGATCTCAGTAAAAATCAAGAGGAAGGGAATTTCGTATGGAATCCATTGCGAACGGATGTCGTTTTCAAAGTGGCTTTTATTTCGAAAACCTACCGTATTAACTTGAGTACCACGTGTAACTGTTTCTCAAATTCAAGACTTATGCAAATACGGTATTTGATGTCTGATTACTTTCAGGCTTTGAAACTGTAACTTTGGAGCAACAACTGCGTGTTGAAAAGGAGACAGTGTCGAAGCTTCAAGCCGACATCTGCAATTTACAAGAAGAACTAAATCTTGCGTTGGCGGCTGCCCATGCTCCTACATTAGCCTCTCCAGATTTTCAAGATGATACCCAGGTTTTGCAGGAAGCCAGAGAGCAAATCTCTGAATTACAAGAGTCACTCTCTTGTCGATTTGCGGAAAAGACTGAACTACTCGCCAAATTGGAAGAACTTCGAATCTCGCACGAAAACAATGTAGAAAACTTGCGAATGGAGTTGCTTTCTTCAGCAGAAAAGTTAGCTGTTCTCGAAGAACAGCTTGAAATCCAAAAACAGTTGAATCATGTGAGCATGATGGAGAAAGACTCTGAAGGCCAAGAACTTCAGGAGGCCCAAGAACAAGTTCTGCAGCTCAGAAGTCAGCTTAATAGTCAGTCGAATGATCTCAAGAAACGGCAAGAAGCGTTGGAGCGAATGGAGACACGTGTCAAGGCTTTCCAGGAGGAGAAAGAAAAACTCGCCGAAGCTCTCAACCAGTGTAGCGTGAAAGAAAAACAACTGCTTGAGCGATTGTCTCAGAATGAAGACCGTTTTCTGAAGGCTGATGCGAGGCAGGAGCGGTTACACAAAGCTATTGAAAATTTCCAGTCGGGTTTCAAATGTTTTGTAACCGACGTGAACAAAAAATTCAAGACTCTCGAAAGCAGTTCTTTGTTGGTAAGGATTCTAGTTTTCTCTGAATTTTCGCAATTTTCTTTATATCTGCTTTTTTTGGCAGTCTCTGCATACATTGGAAAAACGACTCGATCACATCAATAATGAAACCTATTCCAAACTTTCGAGCCGAAAGAATTTGTCAAGTGAACTCAAGGCGGTGTTTCTTGAACTGGAACGCACAAAAGCTTCCCTTTGCGAGGTACAGGACATATTCATTCCCAAATGTATCTGTGAATTTCTGTTGCTGGACTATGCAGCTCGTTATTGAATCAGAGCTTATTCAGCATACAGTATTTGTCATGCATGCATCTTTCTGTGGTTTTATTTTTTCCAGGAAAGAGAATCCGCTGCGGAAATGAAGAACATTTTTATCGATGAGCAAGCCCAACTCGGAGAAACGATCGAGCAGAAATCAGCCAAAATCGCAGAGCTAGAACGAGACATAAGTGTAATTCAAGGTGCTCATGCGTCGAGACACAAATTGATCCAGGATGATTTGGATTCGACGCAGAATGCTCTCGTCAGTCTTGCTCTTTTTTTTTTTTTTTTTTTTTGCAGTTCATCATTCACATTTTTTATTGTTACCTGGTTAAGAATGATTTTTGTTTCTACTGCAAGTAGAATTTTCGTATTTTCTTCGCAGGAAGAGGTGCGCGAGGAATTGCAGCGAATGAAGGAACAATTGGTGGATCGAGACAGATTGGTGGATACGTTACGCGAAGAGGTTGAGAAAACCGCGGCTGGAAAGGATGCCGTCATTTCTTCGCAAGCAGCTCAGTTGGATGAAAGTGCCGGCAAACAATTGGGTATTTATTCTTACAAACCTGAAAATGTATTTCGCGTCGTCGATGTTCTTCGACTTTTATTTATTCTTTTTTTTTTACAGAACTGGAAGCGCTTCTTGGAGCCGAAGAGAAGGAGAAGTCGGCGATTCTGGAGCGGTACACGACGATCGAAAATGAGTGCATTACGTTGCAAAGTACAAACTCGGATCTTGTACGAAGGCTGACTGAAGTGGAAGCTGGCTTGCAAGAGTTGGGACGGGAAAATCAGACTCTTCAGGTATTTATCTTCTGGGGAAAAACCTCGAACTTGTTGAATGTTGGCATTAGTTTTGAATGCTCTGAGATCAGATCCTCGACCGAATCAGATCAATTAAAATATTTGCGTGAACCTTCAAGAGTAATGCTGAAAAATAAATTCTTTTCGAGAATCATTTTTGAGCGCAGGTTTTACGTGAACTAAACTCATTCCTCGTCGTTCTGTTCGAGAGAAAAAAAAAGTAGGAGTCCTTGAAAATAAATAACTCTTCGCAAAGCTCGTAATCAATGAAATATTAGAAAATTATTTGTTTTGTTTTGAACTAGATCAAAATTTTGATTTCTCATGCAGACGCGAGTTTTGAATTCTTCCATTTAATTTTTCCAGAAAATTTCGTGACCCGCATCTCCTTCATTTCATTAAATTTTAGTCTGGGTTTGGCATCGACAAAAATGTATGTGTTAACTAAGCCCCGAAAGTGTGAAGGCATTATGTAATGATGTAATTGTGGAAGAAACGGACATTTCGGCTTTTCGTAATTTCATTAATTTCTAACCGGAATTGCTGTGTTTAATTTAAAGAACATCCTTTTTTTAATTTAATTTGATAGCATAAATTTTTTTTTGTTCGGAATGCTTATGTATTCCGTTCTCTGCTCGTGTCTGTGTTGGTGGCTCATTTTACAGTCAATTTGAGTACGGAACTGTATTTTGTTCGTGTAAAATGATATATATACTGTACTATTGTTTTTGTTTTCATGTGCCGCTTCCTGGACGGAATAATTTCCTAAGTCCTCTGTTCTGTGCGCTGTTTAATTTTATCTGCAGGGGGTTTTCTTTTAGAATGTAGATCGAACGTTGTGAGTTATTTTCAGGGTTCTAGTTCTTCAACTCGTTACTTTTTTCTTCCTAGTCGAGCTATCCTTTTTTTTTTCTCCGTCCTAAAAATTCTACCTATTTTTTGGAGAGGCAAAGACGTTTTGTAATTTACCGCGTGACAACCTGTGTTAAGCATTCAATTTTGCTTGGAATGATGCTTGAATCTTCTCCTTTGTTTCCCCATCTGTCGAGCAGTTGGAGCTGGCCAAGTTACAGAACCGTAAGTGGGCCGATGATACGGGTGTGGAAAATTGCCCGGTGTGCAACAAACTTTTCACGTTAACAGTGCGACGCCATCACTGTCGACAGTGCGGGGGAATTTTCTGCAACGATTGTTCTTCCAAAACGGCCACGTTGCCATCTTCGAAAAAGCCCGTCAGGGTTTGTGACAAATGTTTCGGAGAATTGAATTGAGCCATGTTTTTCTGAATTTTTATTTATTTATATGCATTACGTTTCATTGAAAGCTCCGGAGATATGTCTTGTTGAATGTTGAGTAATCATACATCGGCGAATATCCCTATTCGGTTATGTTTTCCGAAATTCCTTCGTTATTATTTTTTTGGGATGCTTTCATGTGGTCAGTTCGGCTTCTTAATCTTCAGCCTGTGTAGTACTCAGCTTTGGTGATGATATGACTCTATGCCGCCATTAGGTGGTGAAACTTTGAAAGCTCTAATGATCCATAAGAGCAAACGTTCCTTATTCGTGTATGTTAACTTTCTTAAATATCGATGTTTACAAGGGTTTTCCACTCACGAGATATTCGGAAACATTTTTTGGCATATTTTGTCAACGAGGCTGATCGTATTTTTTTGTGTTTTCATGATTATTTGTATTCAGAAGTTTCCCAATGTCTTCCTATCCCTCTTTCGTTTTTCCTTTTTGAAGATTTTCTGTCGGATCTATTTTTGATCGAATTTTGTTGCGCATGGATATTGCAGTTGGATCTGAGAAGATCGCGTTTCAATGCTGTTATTTCTGCTACGGTCATGTTTTGAAGAATTTTCATTCCTTTTGCAGATAAGTTGTGTGCTAGTGTAAAAATCGGCTTGTTGTGACAGAATGGCTAGTCCGAGTGACTTGCGCTTCCAAGGTAAGTTCGTAATGTTTTGAACGATCCGTTTCATGGTAAATGGTAATCAGACGTGCAACTCAGAAAACATTCGAAAAAAAATTGCCCTTAAGTCACGCACGGATTGCCAAATATTGTCGAAAACATTCTAAGGTAATCTAAGGAGTAGCAGGTGATCTTTATTATTCGTCCTAACGTAATTGTTCGATGTCTCTGTCCTAATCTCGTGGCTCAGTAACTTTCTAGACACGAAATAGCTTATTGAACTGCAGAGAGATTCATTCATTGCCTTGATCGTTTCAGATTTTGGTGGAAAGAACAAGGACCCCAGTTTAACTATTGATTCGGATTCAGCAGAAGACGGATACACACATAAGTTCTCGAATTTTCCGGAATCTGCGGGTGATCAAGATCGGGTAAGACTGGAAGGCAACCCAACGATCTAGGTGTCAATTTGGAACCCGTGAAGTCGGTTAACGATCAATTTCCCTCAAACTATCTTTATTTTTATGGTCAGGATGTGTAAAACCCCTTATCAGATTTCACGCTCTGTCAATCATGCGAAGATGAGAATAATCGATTATTAGCATAACCAGTTGAAGGTTTTATCACGACGGAACGAGTAAGGTATTTTCAAACCAGTTTTGGGGTTTTTTCGAAAAAAATTAAGTTGTTCGGCGAAATGCCGTTTGAAGACTTGAACTTTCATGCGTTGGTCGCTCGATGTCGTCTGAAAATGAATGCGTTTCTCGCCGAGCAGCTCATTGAAAATGATGGGGCGAATCAAGCAGCACCTTCTTTCTGGTCCTTCAAGTATTACCAGCAATTCTTCGACGTGGAGACCGACCGAGTCAAAACGCGATTGATTTACTCAATGATGCCGAAGCTTGGACAAAGCTACCTGGAGTATCACGTACGACCGAAGCCTGATCTCTATGGTGAGAAAAAGCTGGTGGTTTGTCAAAGATGGCTTTTTCTATCATGGTGTTTGAGCTTTACTGAAATAATATTGTGCCTCTCGTTCACAGGCCCGTTCTGGGTTTGTGTCACGCTGGTGTTCTGCATCGCAATTTCTGGAAACATTTCAAATTATTTGCAAACCGCCAGTATCGGGAAGGAATACGTGTGGAAGTACGATTTCCACAAAGGTGAAGCTTCTGTGGGAGTCTGATGTTTTCCCTGCGATTAATTGAGCAAATTTGTGTTGCTTTTATACGAATAACTTTATGATGACTTACCTCTTTAAATATTTTGAGCCGCTTTAAAATTTAACTATTACAATTGAAGAAAAGCAGAACCTGGGCAAGCAAGAAGAAAATCAGGCAGTGAACAGGCAAGGGGGACAAGACTTAATGGGACTTGGGCAGGTGTCTCCTTGCCCTGCTTTCTAACCTTGAGGCTGAAGATTGAAAAGATATAAATAAAAAGCACAGAAGTTTCATGAAATTGAGGTAATGAGAAAAATATCCTTGGCAGAAATTAGGCCTTGGATCATACTTTTGAAGATGATGAAAAACTGGAAATGAATGTGTCTTAATTCATCCTTTAACTACATCTTTGAACTAACCTTGAATATAAATGTAAAAGGGTTGTCCCACATGAACATAGCCTTAGGTATTTCTGGAGTGGGTACCACTGCAAATACGATTTCTGTTTTCATTTGTTGCAAACAAATTAATCACTCAGAAAATTTGAAAATTTTGGAAAAGTTCGAAAAGATCATGGTTGAAACAACATGAAAATTTCAAATTTTTAGCTTTGTTGACACATGTTCAGCACCCTGTGACATGAGCAGAGAACTGCGCCGAAAACTGAAAAGTTTGCACTCATCATCATGTCAAAAATTGACATACAGTATTTTGAAAAATCTGAAAAATTCCGAGGACCTTAAAACTTCATCGGCTGAATCAAAAAATGTTATTTGCAGTGGTACCCACTCAAGAAATATCCAAGGCTACGTTCATGTGGGACAACCCCAGTATTTCAATTCCAAGTGGACTTGAAATCTATTTCTCTGCTCATATTAATATTTTTAAATGGATTTTCATGTGTTCTCAGTGAGCTACGCGGCGACGGCAGTGTTCTTCTATGTTTGGATTTTGCCAGTATTCCTCTACTTGGCATTCGCCTGGAAGAAAAGCACTGGGATCACATTCCTCGAAATTCTGTGTCTGTATGGATACTCATTGTTCATCTATATCCCGATTTCCGTGAGTGTTTACTTCTTTCTAGTTCTTGTTGTCCGTAAACCGAGGTAAAAATAAATGTTCGAGTTCAATAAAAATATATGTTTCAAATATATTCAATCCACAAATATTCGTACAATCTCAC